GCATGGGAAGGAGACGTCCAAATCCATGCTGAGGCTCCAACTCTTCACAAAGAGTCAACCAGAGGATTCTGGGTTTCTCAGGGATTATGGGAAGAATTAAAAGAGATTGACTGTGTGCGTGTGTGATTGCGTGATTATGTTTGTAGTACATTGTAGGGGACCATATTTTCCCTACAATGTAATAAAAACCAGTTATTTTGACATTGCGGGGACCATTTTTCAAGTTAACCTTAAGGGTGTCGTGACTGGGAATAGGGTTTTTCCCATAGAAATGAATGGAGAGTCCCCATTTACATCAGTACGCCAAGATAATGCGCGCACGCGCGTGTGTGTGTGTGTTTACAAGTAACACTGTGTATAATACTTTATAGTACTGTATTAATGTAGAACATCTGTACAGCATTGCTTATGTATATCTGTGTAGCCCATATAGTACTGCGTTCAAAGGCCTACGAGTATTACTGTCTGTGTAGTACTATCTCTGAAGTACCGTCTATACAAAACGGTCTGTAGCACTGAGTTTCTTAGGTTGTGTGTTTGATGCCCTGTTTGAATGTAAACATTACCTTAGATCTAAAAAACGTTGAGTTTGCTAGACCACTCAAACTGTCAGCTGTACTCTGGTGTCATGTCTCAGCCTGACCACCAGAGGGCATCAATGATCAACCTCAGATTCTGATGCTCCAATTCACCAGCTAATTACAAGAGGGTCTAGCTGCAGACACCTGTAGAGCGGAGCTCCACCGGAAATACGTCACCTCCACAGGAAACACGTGATCTTTAAGGACGTAAAGTGGAGCTCCGGTTAGGGTTAGGGTTAGGATTAGGGTTAGGGTTAAGGTTAAGGTTAGGGTTTATTCGCTGTGACACAGAGTTGAGGCCACATGTTTCCTGTGCATCTCTAAATGCAGAAATACTTCAGCAAGTGGAAATATTTTGGTACACACAACTTACACACTTGTTAAACTGCCATTCATGGGTTTCAGACAAAGTCTCCAACATGTTTATGCAAATCTGTAGGAATCACTATGATTCCTACAGATCGAAATGGCGGTCTAATTGCTTTGTATTGTTAGCTTTTAGCAATACATTCAGGTTGCTGCATGCTATTAGACGCACTCCAAGGCGGCACAGCTTGTGTGACACAAGTGTGGCAGGACAGAAGGTAAAAACGATATAGAGGTACGAACAACGACTGGTGTTAGTTACTACGGGGTCAAGACTTAGACAAGTTATTTTCTGTAAGCCGAACCTCAGACTAATGGTCAGTTTGTTCCGTAACTGCTGAAAATGGCACCCGCCAGGAGTCCAATTAAAATGTGCTTTCATTGAATTGTCATTAAAAAAAAAAAAAAAAAAAAAACGTTTACCCATTTACACCACTAGGGTGCAGCATTGCAGCACAAATAAAATGTCCCTTGAAGCGTATTTTAGAGTACAGCTAAAACACTGGAAAATGCACTAATAAAAGGTAAATCTGCGCGTACAGACACATGCAGAATCTTAAGTTCTTCAGAAGCTATACACATGCACCCACCAACTATTCATATACTTTCAAGCAGTCTTCATGAAGTAGAAAATATCACGGGAAACCATTTGAGGTTGAGGAATCTTAAGATGCAAGATGGTGAGAGTAATGTGTGCTTGTGGCAGCTGCCACAGGTCACAGAGCAGTGAGTGCGCCATTCAACTAATAAAGGAAGAGCAAAACATCACAAGGTATATGGGGCAAACCACAGGCCTCCACGTATAGGGGTGCTGGCAGTGAGGGTGTGGTCCAGGGCAGTTGGAGCAAGGGCGTATTCAGACATGGACAGTAGGGACAGCAGAATATTGTGAGAGTACCATGTGTGTTTAGGAGATGGGGGGGTTGGGGCTCACTTAGTCCCTAGCCATGTTGAAACCATACCTACTCACTTGAGTCAGAGAGAGCATTTACATTTTGCATAATAGGAGACGCTTTTCTCTGAAGTGATGTACAAGTGAGGCAATTGAGCACACTACAGACATATATGGAATGTAAAGAGGCGTCAGGATAGTAGAGGAATTTATGGAACAGATGGGTCTTGAGGCATTTCTTGAAGGACGAGAGGGAGTCTGATGACAGCAGCTCATTTCATCACCAGGGAACCACACAAGAGAAAAGCAGAAATGATGTCACAATAAGAAATGCCTCCCCTTGGGCCAGTGACCCCACCCACTGCACACCTATAGAATGCATTTCCTTTGAATCACAGACCCTCCCCTCTGGATATGTTGCAGAAAGTCTTCTCTTTGACCCGCAACTCCCACCCCCTGAGGACTTACAGTCTTCCCCTTGGCATTTGTCCCTCTTCCCCCATGGGGAGGTCGGTCAGTCAGGTCCAGCCCCATCCTGTTCCCCCCAGAGTACAGTGTGTGGTGCAGTTATCTTATGTGAATAGCTTATTCATTTTACATATCATTTCAATGGTGTAACATAGTGGTCACTGAATGGTTAATCACAATGAACAGGTTGATCTTTAAGACATTCATAATCAATTGCGGCGCCCTAAATTCCCCGCCCCAGCAAAGTATACCATCGCAACTTGGTAGCACCTCAGATTATTTTCCTTGTGAAAGCAGCTCTCACTGTAAAAAACATGGAGACCACTGCATTAACTCACAATGCATTGTGTCACATACTAACCTCCCATATAGCTACATTTTCCCCTGCAGGCTGCAATGTTATGCAAACTGTAGTCAAGGTGGTCTGCATGAACAGACTGTGGGACAGGTGGTCTGTATGCATGGGCTGTGGGACACATGGTCTGAATGTATGGGCTGTGGAATAGGTGGTGTGCATGCATGGCTGTGGGACAGGTGATCTGCACGCATGGGTTGCGGGACATGTGGTCTGTATGCATGGGCTGGAGGACAACTGGTCTGCATGTATGGGTTGCAGGACATGTGGTCTGTATGTATGGGCTGGGGGGGACAGGTGGTCTGCATATATGGGTTGCGGGACATGTGGTCTGTATGTATGGGCTGGGGGGACAGGTGGTCTGCATATATGGGTTGCGGGACATGTGGTCTGTATGCATGGGCTGGAGGACAGCTGGTCTGCATGTATGGGTTGCGGGACATGTGGTCTGTATGTATGGGCTGGGGGACAGGTGGTCTGCATGCAACAACTGCTGTCAAGGTGTTCTGCATGCACAGACTGTGGGGCAGATGGCCTGCATTCACGGGCTGCTATATGTGTACCTGCATCTGACCCCCCTCCCTCCCCCCTCCCCAGAATGACCCTGTTTCACCTTCTGCTCCATGTGCCACCTTTAAAATCACAGTGGAAACTGCCAGAAGTATGTAATGTAAACTCTGTGCAGTTGAGCTCAGTTCCCCCTCATTAAAATGTCCCTCTTCAATCTGAAACCGGAGGCTGTTGAGCAGGGTGGGATGAGCAGGTTTCACAGTGAACGAATGCTAAGGCCAGGTACTCTGAACCCTCGGGGGCCCCCAGTGTCCACATGGGGGGGGCGGCATCACTTCCAAGGCTGTGCCACTCGACAATGCTGGCATTCATGGGGCCGCCTTCTGCCGCGGGGAGCTTGCCGAAAACAGCCCTCGGCTGCACTGGGCGCAGGGAGCACAGGCGCTCCTTTGTGCCTCCTTCCCAGCCCACGCGCTCACACCGCTATCGGGGTCCGGGGCCTCGTGCTCTGGGGCCTCAGCCTCAGCCGCAGTGCCGTCTGCGACCCTAGAAGCACATCGCAGCACTGCGGACCAGCTGCGGTGCCATGCCCGTGGGTGGTATTTTCTTGCTTTGCCACTGCCTACAATGCCCAGGCCGGCAGCTGGATTAAACAGGGCATTTGCGGCAGTGGCAGGCAGCCCCCGGGACCCCACTGCGACACTGCAGCGAGGCGTCCTCCAGAGGAGCTTCTCTTTAATCCCATAAAGCGCTTCCCTTTCGGGGTCGTCTCACGCGGGAGAATAAACACAGCAGCACAGGCCTGGTCTTAGGAATGCGAGGCATGGCAGAGCAGCCGTCACACCCTGCGCTTCCACGCCTACAGCTGCCCGCTGTCCCCCCCCCACACACACACCTGCCAGCGTCTCTCAACCTGCCCGTCTGTCTGTCCCTGTACTTCTTCAAGATCTATCTGCCGACCTGCCTGCCCATTACAGGTCTGCGTGTCTCCTGGCCTGTTTGTTGACATTTCCTCCGTTGTCAGTTATTCTAGCAAACGGTAAAATGAAGAATCAGACATAAAATTATTCCGCCTACAATAATCCATCCAAGAAAATTATGCTCTACCTCGGACTTCAGTAACCAGGCACTGTGGCAGTAATCCAGAATCCAGAAATAAAGTGCATCCAATAAATAAACCAGGCTCCAAGAATCCAGTCTGAAGTAGTCCAGGCTACAGTAATCAAGCATGCAAGAAAGTAGCAAACAACGATGCAGGCTACAGTAATCAAGCATGCAAGAAAGTAGCATAGAGGCTGCACTGATCCAACACACAGAAATGTATTATACAGTAACTACAGATCCAGATGACCATAATCCTGGCTACAGGAATTCAATGGGAAAGCAGGATTCTGTAATCTGGGCTGCTGTAATCATCTGCACCTTCCTGCTTGCAGCAGTAATCCAGAAGCAGTCTTCACTCTCCTGCCAAGACTACAAAGAACTGGGTCTTGTTAAGTGCTAATGACTGGGAGAGTCTCCTGTTGCGGACTGTGCATTTATCTGTCTATGGAACGGGCAGGAGCTGCTTGCTGGGTCTGTGCTTTAAGCGCTGTGTTAATCACCTGCCTGGGCATCTCTGCCTTGCTGGTGAAGCTATGGACAAGGCCAGCCAGGCTCACTTTGGGATGTCATCCAGCGAGCGTGGCCCGGGAACAGGGGCCATCCCCAAAGAGCCCAGTCAGATTCC